CAAACATTCGAAGATTGCAGTCTGTCAAGGTGTTCTGTTCTGTTCTGCATTTTGTTAGCATCTTCACCTAGAAGGGGGGACTATATCATCTGCATATTCTAAGTCAACGAGATTATTCCCTGGAGCAAGTCAATCCCTAAGTCTCTGAAGTAAGTTAGGGTAAAGTCCATTAGCACATACATTTATGATGAAATTAGATAGAAATGGGGATAGTGGGCATCGCCATCGGACACCACTAGTTGTCACCAGTTCAGATGACAACTCGCCGTAAGCTCTCACCTGGCTGACTGCATGAGTTCGAGTAGAGTGCCTTAAGCAGTGAAGTGTATTTTCTCGGCATTCCCTTGACAGCCAAACATCGCCATAGTACCTCCCGGTCAACAGAATCGAAAGCCGCCTTTAAGTCAAGAAATATAACGATTGTTGGACGGACGCTGGTAAGTATGCCTATGTTTCAGAATCTGTCGAAGGGTGAAGATATGATCAATACACCCTCTGCCTGGATCAGACACACGCTGAGAAGACCGTCTAGCGAAATCGAGCACCAGACTATCTCTCGATTGAAACCCAAATAGGGAAAGATGAGTTAGGAGTGTTCGAAGTTGACACCGAGATTTTATCAGTTTGAAACTCCTCACCTGGATGGACATAAATCCATTTTGATTGAAAGTGTTTTATTTAAGACTAACTAGTACATGCATAGTAAAAATCTTTTCAAGTATCAAATGTCAAATTTTTTCAACAAATTATTTATCACTTATAAAAGTCAGGAAAAACTAGCCATCAAACTTTAGTAGAGTCAAGTTGTCATACTTGTCACTTGTTCCATGTTAAAAACTTTTAAAGATCACTGGGTGCAGGCTGAATTTATCAATACAAGTTTAAGGGTAGCCATGATAATCATTCGCTGCAACACAAACGATATATTATCCCTCATGGTGAAAACAAAATCGCATAATATTTTTCAAAAAGGTACTATCGAAAAACATTTTAAAAAGTGGTCAATTTATAAGGGATGAATTGAGAATGATTAATCATGTCTAAAAAGACATACAAGAAAGACAAGATACTGTAATCAATCGAATAGGACAGTTTTCAAGAGTTTTTCTGTAGGCATTTGATCTATTTAAAGTCAGAGAACTATTGAAAACCAGAAGAGAGAGAATACTGGAGAGCTGTTTCTTCCCACTCTGGAATTCTTGGGGTTTAATTTCCTAATCTTCCAGTTTCAAGTCAATTTCGTAGACTATTCAGCCACTGAGGCCCACCCCAATAGCCCATGATTTTCAAAATCTACCAATTCGTGGAATACCAGCATCGAATTTCATCGCCGAGTAATTTTCATCACGCCCAACCTAGTGGATCGCACTGGTTGCGACTTGTCATTAGAATCTAAGGCAACTTCGTTCAGTAGCCAATCCTTAGAGAGCATCAGATAATTCTCTAACTGACATCTATCCGTGACCAAAGTTAAAAAAAGGAAAATGGTAAATAGTCAGCCGAACAAAAGTGATGTTAAACTTTGTGCAAAACATCCCAGATGTTAACCTTTACGGTGTGAGAATCAAAACTTTTGTGTTAAGAGCTGGAACACTACTGAAAGTAATAGCAGGTTAATGGACAATTCTGTCACATTGTACACAGTTTCAGTCTCAAACATATTTTTTTATAATAATCACCATCAACGGGAGGGATTTGAAAGAGGTTACTACATTCACTTATCCAGGGAGCATTGTCTCAACTACAGGAGGAGGAGAAACGGACGAGGATGTCAAATCGAGAATCTGAAAGGCGAGAAACATGTTCATCATCCTGAAACCAATCTGGAAATCTTCTTCACTCAGCATCAACAGCAAAATTCGGATTTTCAATACAAACGTCAAGTCAGTCAGTTCTTCTATACGGATCAGAAACTTGGCCAGTGGGTCACAAAGAATATTTCCAACAGCCTGTTGCAGACCTTTATCAACAACAACTGTCTTTGCTCTATACTCAAGATCAGATGGACGGAAAGAATAACCAACAAGAAACTATGGGAACAAACAAAACAAGAACCAGTCACCCAACAAATATGCAGGAGAAAGTGGAGATGGATTGGACACTCGCTGAAGAGGCCGCTGGGTGACATCGCGCGACAGGCCAGTGCTCGAGTGGAACCCAAAAGGGAAGCGGCGAGTGATACGTCCGAGGGTGACATGGAAGAGGTCGTTTGAAGAAGAGTTGAAACAGTGTGGATTAACATGGATGCAGGTTGAAAGTACAGCAGAAGACGGAAGCAAGTGGAGGCGTGCAGTTGAAGCCCTATGTTCCACTAGGAACCCAAGAGAACAATAATAATAATAATGTGAATTATGACATAAAATAATTGGTTACGTACTTTATAAATTAGCTCATGAAATGTGAGAGCGTTCGAGAGCAAACGATAAATTGCCTAATTTCTCCTCTTCCATGTATATCTAACAATTGAACTGCTCCTGTGGAGCCAGTTAGCTGCTTAGGCCGTACAATTACGCGTGTTTCTCGTCGGATTTCCGAACATCACCCGGCATAGTGGTTAAGTAAAGGACAAACTAAATCTATTTCTAGCGATATTCTATCTCATCTTGTGGATACAGAACACAAGATTGATGTTAACGAGGCCTCTTTCAGGGTCATTTACCGCATATCTACCAATCTCAACTTAGCCTTAAGAGTTCGATTACTAAATATTGCTGAGGCTGTTAGGATCCACATCAAGAAGCCTAATTTGTTCGTCCAAAAGGAGTTAGTTCAGACATTATCCTTACCTTGGCCATCTAAGTTTGAATGATCCTCAATTTTTGTGGAACGTTTCTAATTTTAGTGGATATTCTGTTTGCTATTATTATTACTATAATTTAAGCATCTTTAATGAACTGTAATTCCATCGTGATCTTACTTTACAAATCGATATTACTTAAAAAACACCAATGTTGTAACTGACTACTATTCTAGAATAAACATACATATATCTAATTGTAGAGCCAGAAGAGGAAATTATCGAAAAGGATATTCTTCGCTCAGTTATTTTGTGTTTTATAGATGTCTGAATGAATATTTTCGCTATATTGAAATGTAAGAATCTCAAAGGCGGTGTAGTATTAATAAGATTAGTAGGCAGTTAAAACATTACACATCAAGGTGATAATAATTATAATAAGATCATATTGCAAAAACTATGTTGAATTTGATAAATAAAGGTGGCAAGTCATATATATAACTGGAAACTCTTCAGATTGAATGAACAAAGTGAAAAATAAATAGTGTCAAAGTATGAATAGGGATCATCATACTTTAGCACAGATAGATTAAGACTACGAAAGAAGAGTGTGGTTGGACAAACGTTTTCTGAACACATATATCTGGCTTTTCTAATTTTATTTTTTTATTTTTTATTTTGATTTACAGCTTGATTCCACACCGTATTTTCAGTACAAGTATGGAATTTTCAGCATGGATATCGGTAGCCCAAATTCAGGCCGACCATAGATATCGGGTGTGCGCCGGCAGGGGATCGAACCCCGGACCATGTTCATGGTCGGCGAGAGTCCTAACCACTGTGCCACCGACGCTGAAGTGAGCTTGTAGATTTCTCCACGAGTTTACTAATCATCTCTCCTGGTAACCTTGGACGTGATTGGTTGTTTTTGTGTGTTTTCACACCCTCTAGGCTACTTGTGGTATTGGAACTGATTGTTTCCTTGACTTGAGCTTTGACGTCCATGGACGTTTTCCAAAAGAATGGATATCCACGGAATTTCATCAAAAGACATATACCCCCAAGCCAACCTATCAAACCGAAAGCCCCCAAGGAAAGCACAGAAATTCGCCCTTCATCTCAGAAATCACTGCAAGACTTTTCAAACCTTTAGGAATTGATGTCCCATACAAACCAACAAAATCACTTCACTCAGCTGGCCCTGTGTCAGTCAGAAGACTTAACAACGAAAGAAGATAAAACCAACATCATCTACAAAATAAATTGTAACAACTGCGAAAAACACTACATTGCCCAAAGTGGACGTCCCCTTCGTCTTCGTATTCCATGATCATAAACTAGCCGTAAAAAGACATAACATCCACTCCATTACTCATATCACCAAATACAGACAAACGTGGACATCAACTCGACTGGGACAACCAACTTTCAAATATTAGACAGAGGAAACAACAAGAATGCTAGAGAATTTTTAGAAGCCCGCCTGGTATTCCAGTGAATCATCAGTCAATAAACACATCGTGACAGACAAAATTTACCAACTGATAAGAAGAAAATCTCACACACAAAGAGTCAAAGTTCGAGTCAAAGAAACAATCAGTTCTAATACCACAAGTAGCCTAGAGGGTGTGAAAACACACAAAAACAACCGATCACGTTCAAGGTCACCAGGAGAGATGATTAATAATCTCGTGGAGAAATCTACAAGCTCACTTCAACGAATTGAAGTATGCGCTGAAGATGTCTCCTAGTAGGACGATGAAAGCTTCGCAAATTAACTATCCAGCTCAGAGAACACAACCTCATCAAAATCATCCACCTGAGCTACAAATCTTCTCCATCATATCTAAATCTAACGAGGTTTTCAACTGTTCAGTTACATCGCAAAATTTACTTGTGCACTTTTTCTATCGCTCCAGGCATTTTTCGAAGGAAGTAGAGAGGAAAAATCATGAGAGACTTGATCGATCTTCAGGTTACACAACCTACTATCAATATCTTTTTTACTTCAAGTTGCCGAACGAACATAAAGTATTACGCAATAAATCCTGCTATTAATATATACACATATATACTTGCCTCTGATATCTGCAATACCAAAGTCATTTAAAAAGAGCAGTTTGTCCGTTAAAACGGTGTTTTTCCTAATTTTTTAGAAAAAAAGTACATGCGTATAATATTGAAAATTAACATATTCAAACAAAAACAAACCCAATAAATACTCCCAAACATTTTTGAAAAGAAATACTTATATACTACTTACATGATTCACAAGTGAATTATCCTGATTCATCTGTTTTTCAAAATTATCTTTTGAAATACTGTAATCTGTTAAAGACGGAGGTATAATACATTTGGACTGGTTGATCATATTACTAACATTATACACAGTATTATTGTAATTGTTATTGCTGTTATTATCATTATTATTATTATTTAATGTAGTCTGAGGTATAACTGAATACCTGTTGGGCAATAAATTTGCTTTAGAAATTTCTGGATGCGATAATGAACTGGTCACAGCATGATTTGTAGATCCTTTGAGAAATACGGAAAAAGAAAACAAACAGAGAGAAAGAAAGAGTATACAATTGATGAAATGCGATAAACACTGTTATATCCACTATATGAACAATATACAGTCAAGTTATTTTAAAAATTAATTAAATTTCACAAACTAAAATCATTTAGAGAGATCATTGAGAACTAGGAGGCACTGGACAGCTGCTTCGGCCTAGTTTGAGACGCTTCATCAGTGCTAGGGATGGAATCCCTGACGTTCATGTTAAGAAACCAAGCCCGTTGACCATTAAGCCACTACGGTTGAAATACAATGAGCCATGGATTCTAACTTTGTCAATTTGTGACACAGAGCTACGGAAAACAAAATACGCAGTTCAGCCAAGAGACTCTTTCCAGTAAATCCATTTTCTTGACCTCTACGGTCACATTTATATACAAAAAGTAACGAGCTGTTGTAATCATGCTTGTTAATGTTAGTCAATGCATAAGAGGAGTTGAATAAATGTATTAGAGCTGCGTAACAGAATGAATAACTTAACAAATGAGTTGTAATCAAGATGCATATAAAGACGAAGGAAAATATGGAGTTACGTAAGAGTCCTAAGGAAGTTTAAAAGTTACAAGGAGTTAGATGAAACAAACACACAAAATTCAAGTCAGGCAGTAGAAATCAACAAGGTCAACTTGAATTTGTTTGTATGCTTTCTAACTATTTCTAACATTTGCATTTCATTCTGTCTTAATTAACTCCACATATTGCTCAGTTTCTATTTGCATCCTGAATACAACTCATTTGTTGATATAAGAATAAAACTTGTGCACTGTGGTAAAGTATAATTCCATTATGGGTAAAATTTGTATTGATAAAGTCTCACAGTGTTATACAGTAATGTTTACTGATAACGTTTCGAGCACAATGTATTGCTGCTCATAATCATATCAAGGTACTTACCTTAGCAAAGGTAAGAATAGTTGACCTCGAGAAGATAAGTAATTTAGAAGAAAGCTCAGCAATCGCATTGCATGCATTAACACACAACCACACAATAGAGTGGCAGAGGGTTAAAATTCTAAAAAGCAATATAGGTAGGTGGATAGAGAGGTTGATTACTGAATCGTGCCTGGTTCATCGAGTCTATACCCAAGACAATATCTGCAATAGGAACCACTCATCATTCATACCGGAAATATGAAAAATACTTCTACTACGAATCAAATCAAGCGATGAAAAATAATGGAATTATATAAACGAAGTTAGAAAGTTGTGTCAGTACCCTGATATGATTATGAGCAGTAATAAATTGTGCTCGGAAGGTCATCAGTAAACACCACTGTATAACTTAATTGATTTTTAGATTTTCCCGTCGATTGATCGGACCGAAGTGCTCGGTCTCAGGTTGACCTTTCGCTTCTTGTGCACATGCTTCAACGATGGCTGGGCATTAAATTAGAATTTAATTTGTGGAAGGTGACTAGCGGTGGAATCCAGGATGAGCATTTTGTCCACTTTGGACTTGTCAGATGGACGTACCCGCATTTCCCAGTGAGTGATGATGTTCGGCGTTTGAAACTATGGGCACTGCGTTAAAGCCTCGGTGGGAACATCACCACCCACTGGTAAATGCAGGTACATCCAATTGACGAGTCCCAAATAGGACGAAATGCGCATCCTGGATTCCACTCCTAGTCGCCATTCACAAATTAAATTCTAAGTGCATGCCCAGACATCATAGAAGCATCTGCACAAAAGGCCGACATGTCAACCTGAGACTGAGGAGCACTTCGGTCCAATCAGTCGACGGGAAAATCTAAAATTCAATTTAATTATCGTGACTCATTGCACGAGAGGGGGCTGTCGTATCCTAAGTGGTTTAGTGGAAAGCGCTTTGGCGTTTAAAACTATAGGCACTGGATTCGAGCCTCGGTGAGAAAATCATCAGTCACTGGGGAATACAGCTACGTCTGGTTGACGAGTCCCGAATAGGACAAAATGCTCGTTGTCCTGGATTCCACTGCTAGCGACCATCCACAAACTGAATTACTGTATAACACTGTGAGACTTTATCAATACAAATTTTACCCATAATGGCATTTTTTAAATTATTCATCTTATTATGTAACCCTAATACTCTTATTCACCTCTTCTTAGACACCGACTAACAATGACAACTATGATTATAACAAATCATGGCTTTTGTTATCACCCTCTTTCATGAAAATATTGTATGAATTCGCAGGAAAAAGCCTTTTCGCTGAACTGTGTTTTGTTCTCGTTTAGATCTGGATGAGGAATATTCCTTAACCTTAATCAGTACCCTCAATTGGTATCCGATTCACCTTGACATTGTGGATCCCACTGGTACCGACTTAAAAGCACAACTTCAGGACATCCATACATTAGGAGCCATCAATGAGTTGCAGACTGGTAATTAGATCAGAGGACTTTGTAGGGATTTCGTTACGAACAAACATCAGTTAGAGAAATCATTGAATGCCAACGAGGTCCCAAACTAGGACGAAACACCTGTCCATTGCTCCTTGATTTTCAAATGTTTCCCTGACTCATGTTGGTTTGTGACGAAATTTAACAATTTAAATTACCACAAAATTCTATAATTTAAATAACAAATGAATTACATGTGATATTTTCATTTGATTTATGGAAACTTTTTTGTATTCTAAAAATTTAATATTGAATTAATTGGACATGGTAATTTTTCCTTTTTTTACTTATAATAGGAACTTACACTTGGTTGGTAGAAATGTATCGATTAAATTATTTCTTGAACAATAGTAAAATCGCTTTGGATGACTTGACTTGTAACCGGAAGGTCCTGGGTTCGAGCCCTGTCAGTGGGTGGGCACTGCCGATGATTGACAAGCACTAGCATGAAACAGCTGTCCAGTACTCCCTGTTGGTTTTCAATGGTTCTCTAACTGATATCAATTCGTGATCAACTCGTTAAAAACAAAATTAATCCTTACAAACCAACTATAGAAAATGACTTCTGATAATTAATAATACGTTAATATCAAGTAGGGTTTTCAGAAATCTTCATGCTCTATATGAATTTGATGTTTTGAGGTATAAAATTGAATACACAAGTCTGCTTAGACAGCAATCAATGTGGACATGGATGAGTTAATCTTTCTTAACATTTTTAAATAAGGTGGAGGATTTCATCATCAGCTGACATTGATTAGAGAACCATTGGAAAATCAGCTGGGAGTACTGGACAGCTATTTCTTCAGCCAGGTTTGGGACTCTTCATCAGTACGCACCTCCTGCAGGGATTGAACCCAGGACCTTCTGGTTATAAGGCAAGCTTGTAAACTATTGATCATTTGTAAATAAAGATTTTACATTATACAGTATGAACTATATGATGAAGATACCTGGTTAACAACAACAACAAGCACCAATCACTGTCAACACTCAGAGATTGCAGTACATGCACCAACACAAAAATACGATATGGTAAGACAGAGGTACACTTCTAAAATGTAACATAAATAGGTGGACAGAGAGGCTGGCCACTGAATCCTTTCTCATCGAATCTAGACCCGATATGTGCAACAGGAATGAAGCAGCGCTAATACCACATATGTGGAAAACACATCTGCCAATAGAGTCAAAAGATAGGAAATAATGGGAGTATGTATAAACGAAGTTTGAAAGTTATGTGAGTAGAGCCTTGCTATGATTATGAGGCGTAAATTGTTCTCGAAACGTTATCAGCGAATAAACAACACTGTATCACTGTTCGTTTATTGTCAAATAAATCTACTGTGTGGTGGAATTTCTATTCTTTTATAATTTTCAACTGATCTAAGTTAGTGGATATCGACACATAGTGGACTGATATTAGGTGATTGGAGGCAATCGGTAGGAAGCCTCGTCTGACTTAGGTTTCGTCTTGTTGGCGCTCACCAGTCACCAAGGCGTATCTGCAACCCTGAAGGAACTCATTTCGCTTCTGAGATTCAAACCCGCGTCACTCAGTGAGTACTGCAGTCAGAGACGTTACCACTGAGCTAGTTATTCGGGCTCGCAATTGACCTCCTGTAGGACTGTATTGGATACTTTGAGTGGACACTGGAAACTAGTGTAATGTGTCTGCGACTGCAGCAGTGGTTGAATGGTGTACGACCTTGCCTTGCAACCGGAAGGTGCTGGATTCGAGCCCCATCAGTGAGTGCGTACTGCCGATGATTCACAAACACTAGGAGCAAACAGCTGTCCAGCACTCCCTGGATTTCAATGGCTCTCTAACTGATATCAATCCGTGATCAACTCGTAAAAACAAAACTAATCCTTACAAACCAACTATAGAAAACTATAAAATTAGTGAAATCCTAATTAAACTCTTATTTAACCAAACATACTAAACATTTATGTGTTTGCTGAAGTGGTCATATGTTTAGACAAGTTAAAATAGAAATTTTCGGCGCAGAATTCGAAACTCAATAGGAATAATCTTAATTATCAGTAAGAAAAATCCTATTTTTCCTTGAGTAAATGGTAATTTCAGAGAAATTAGTTGGTACTTATCAGTAAAATCTGGTGTCAAGTTTGATGACAGACTGATATCAGTTATGGAACCGTTGAAAACCACTGAGTAATGGGCAGTTCTGTTGTCCCTGTTTGAGACTCTTAGGCGACATGCAACCACTAGGATTCAAAGCCAGGACCTTCTAGCTAAAAGGCAAGCTTGTAGACCATTCAGCCACTTGTACCCGAATCGATAACCTATGCATTCCAACTCCTATCAATTCATGATTTTAGCGTAACCACACCCAAACTGTCAGATCCCACTGGTCACGATTAGCCAACAGAACTCCAGACAACTTGGCCCTGCAGCAATTCACTAGTAAGCATCAGATTAATTTACAAGAGTTGATTTGTATGGATTTTTTTGTGTTCAAGCGTGACCATTGATTGATATCAGTTAGAGAACTGATGGAAAACCAGGAAGTACTGAACAGCTGTACCGTTCTAGTTCGAGACTCTTCAGCACTACACACCCACTGCCAAGGTTAAAACTTACGACCTCCTCTCAAAATCAGCACATCTGGACGCTGAAGTTGACAACAGGCTGAAACAGTCTCTGTCATTACTATAAATGAATTTTTTTACTCATTCTATTGCATACGATAAAGTATCAAGAGAAAATCAAGTCAATGCATTTTCTCTCATAACAGCTTATGAAGAGACTTCCAGTTAAAAGAAATATGCATATTTTATCCTGTGAATTTATAAACTTTTCTATGCTTCTTTCATAAATCAATATATATGCATATATATAAATCTAATAAAAGCATATTGATGAATGCTTTTAATTGACAATGAAAATGATAACTGGCATGTTTTTGAATCTTCTCGTGGAATAACATACCAGTCAATCTCAAGACCCACTGCTTTACTAAACTAAACAGCATTTTTCTGAGTGGCATAGATTAAATTCATGATGAAAAAACGATGAGTACAATAGAGACGAATTAATAATTTAGTCAGTAGTATGGGTATAAAAGTGTGGAGTAAAACAAATACAAGATTTACAGTTTGTAAAAAATAATATACAAATCGTTTTGCTAAAATGACAAGTATAATTATCCTAACAATAATAATAATAATAATACAAAATATTCAAGTATTGGATTGTAGGGATTTGATTGATTGGTTACAGGATTTCATCATGAGCTGACATCGGTTACAGAACCATTGGAAACCACTGGGAGTACTGGACAGCTGTTTCGTCCTAGTTTGGGAATCTTTCAGCAGTACGCACCCACCGACGGGGTTCGAACCCAGGATCTTCTGGTTACCTGGGGTTCTAGTGGGAAGTCGTGACCAGTAGGGTGCAACAGGTTGGGTGCGAGGACAAATACCAGCCGAAGACATTGGCTAGAGGTCACGCTATGTCGTGAATTGGCAGAAGTTGGAATTCATGGGCTGGCCATTGGATTGGGTCCCAGTAGTTTAATGGTCTACGAGCTCGGTGGCCTTGTAACCAGAAGGTCCTGGGTTCAATCCCTGCGGGGGGTGCGTACTGATGAAGAATCCCAAACTAGGCTGACGAAATAGCTGTCCAGTACTCCCAGTTGGCTTTCCAATGGTTCTCTAATCGATGTCAGCTCATGATGAAATCCTGTAACTAATACAAAATATTAACTGATAAAAATTGTCAGTTTAAATGTTAATTATTGATTTTAAGCGACACTTGGGCAATTGAAAACATGATACATTTAAACAAAACAATTTTACTTATTTGTCAAACAAGTGACAGTAAATAAAGTCAGTATGTTTTTCATCATTCATATAATAATAATAATAATAATAATCAATTAAATAAGAAGTTTCTGATATCAAAGTAAATAATAAAAGTTTGTTTAAATTTGGTATCTTCAAAATAAACAAAATGGAGGTAGACAAATGTTTATAGCAACGGACCACATCGTTGTATAATAACATTTAGATTAAAAAGTACTAAATTGTTGTATGCCATGGTGACATGTGGAAACACTTTAAAACAGTCATCATGATGATATACTTTCCTTATCAGATTTCTTTTTATTACCTACTAAAAGGAGCTCTGTTTTTTATTTTCGAGGATTAAGATAGTAAAATAAAGATAGTAAATTTCCTACCCACTTCTTATCTGAATATATTTGATTCATTTAGTAGTTTTACTGCTTAAAACAATCATGTGATATACAGAAATGACTTAAAAATGGACAAACTTCATTTAATTTAATTGAACTAAAGTAGCCTATTATCACCGATGATATTCTTAATTGTGGTGCACGACTGGATTATGCATCAGACTGTGCTCAGAGAGCGAGGAGTCAGAAATACGCTGGACCACCCATAAGAAGACTCTAGAAGATCTGGATTTCGCAGATGATATATGTCCAGTGTCACACAAGCTCGAAGACTTGCAGGCGAAAATAAACAAACTGGCAGAAGAGGCTGGCAGGCAGGGAAGACCGGACTCCAAATGAACATAGAGAAGACGGTGGTGATAAGATAAACAACAAACAGCACCATCACATCATCGGGAGAAATTTAACGGAGGTTACTTCATTCACTTATCTAGGAAGCTCAGTTTCAACCACAGGTGGATGGCACGGATGAAGATGTCAAACCTGGCTAGAATCGGAAAGGCAAGTTACGCCTTCATCAACCTGAAACCAATTTGGAAATCTTTTACACTCAGTATAAGGAGCAAGATTCGCATTTTCAACACCAATTTCAAGTCGGTCCTTCTATACTGGTCAGAAACTTGCATGACTTGTCACGAAAAGGATTTCCAACAGGTTGCAGACTTTCACCAACATCTGCCACCTTCGCTAGCTACATACTGACGATCGAATTGCTAGAAAGAATTAGTAACAAGAAACTGTGGGAACAAACCGACCAAGAGCCAATCGCTCAACAAATATGTAGAAGAAAGTGGAGATGGACAGGGCAAACATTGAGGAAACCATCGAACGACATCGTGCGCCAGGCCATCGCTCTAGTGGAATCCAAATAGGAGGCGACGAGTGGGTCGTAAGTGTGAGGGTGACATGGAAGAGATCGTGTGAAGAAGAGATGAAAGAGTTTGGGCAGTCGTGGACACAGCTGAAGAGGATGGAAGAAAATAGAACAAAATGGAGATATATTGTCGAAGCTCTATACTGCACTCGGAACCCAAGGGAACAATAATAATTATTATTATATAACCTTTATTTATAAAACGATAACTGTGTAAGTGTTAAAAGGAAACTGGCGGTAGATCTGAGTAGCCTCAGACCACAGACAGTTGGTCTTTATATCAAACAATTCGTGGAAAACTAGGGGGGTGTCGATAAAATCTTTCTCCTCATCAGCTACTGAAGTCACTTCAAGTACCGAATAGTCTATGTGACTGACTACCTTTTGAACTTGACTTCTCCTCTTACATCTTGTTTCGTTAACTCAACAGTATTAAGTTGATTAAGTGCATTACTGAATATCTGCTGAACATTGAGCTGTTGGTTTTCAGGGATTTGATTGACTACAGGTTTGATCACGAGCTGACATCAGTTAGAGCACCACTGGAACTCTCCACCAGAACTCACCCACCACCAGGATTCGAACTCAGGAACTTCCGGTTACAAAGTGAGCGCGTATGTCATTTAGACACTGTGACCTATGGATCCTAACATCTGCTAATTCACAATATATATATACATATATATATCGCCTATCCAGAATCGGAAAGGCAAAGCAGATCTTCGTCACTCTAAAGTCAGTATAAAAATCTTCTGCATTCACCATAAACAACTAAATCCGGATATTTTAAATATCAATATCAAGTCAGAAACTTCCCACATACGTCACGATGAGCATTTCTAAAAACCCTCTGAAGATTTATATCAATAGCTGCCCTCTACGGCTCATTACTGAAGACCAGATGGTAACCAGAAAGAATTACAACGAGGAAAGCTCCAGTACAAAGAACCAATCAAGAACCGGTTGCTGAACAAATATTCCTAAGGAAAGGGAGAAGGATGAGAAACAAGCTGAGAAGACCGTTGGGTGACATTGCACGCCAGGCCCCTGAGTGAAGCCCAATGGGAAACGACGAGTTGGGAATTCGATGGTAGCATGCATGAGATCGTGTGAAAATAAAATGAGAGCTTATTTGAAATCGTGGGACCAGCTCTCCGTTTGTAAAACTCGCTCGAGAACAATATCCAGTCTGCCTAGCAAAGGAAGGACACAAGTGTGTATATAGTTCGGTAACAGCTGAAGAGGACTCAGAGAATAGGACAAAGTGAAGATGTGCTATTGAAGCCCTGTGTCCCACTCAGAATCCAAGGGACAACCGCCAGCCAGTGTCACAGGCAAGTAAATATTCTATTACCTGACTTGTTGGAGCCCGCCGGTTATGACTTCTCACTCGAACTCGAAGTGTAGAGACAATCGCTAGTCGTCATCAGATTAATGATCAAGTTTTGGTTTGCCAGCATTTCATTGAACCCATCCCAGTAGTTGATAATCTACAAGCTTGTCTTGTAACCTAAAGTCCTGGATTCGAACCTTGGTGTGTGCATGCTTTCGGAGAGTCCTAAACTTCGACGAAACATCTGTCTGGAACTCCCTGAAATTTTAAAGGCTCTCTGATTTAACCTCGTGGTTAAATCACATTTACTGAACTACCCGGGAAAATATATCTATGTTTTGGCAACTCCATTTAAAAAATAAGAATGTTAGTCTTATACCATACCACTTGAGCCTTTAAAATTCATTCTGTAAACGAAGTTTAAAATGAAACATTCACAAGCTAATATAGAACGCGATCCAATTGTCTAAAAGCCAACAGAATTTCTCAAAGTACCCAGAACTTCTTAGTTCAAAATAACACTATGAGAGGAAATAGGATAAGTGTATGTAAGACTATAATAGTGGTAATTTTACTGTACTGAATTAAGGAGCCAACATTTTCACATCATCAATAAAAATCCACCTTGTAGGTGGTATATATTCCATGCAATTCTAAGAAGTAGTATAAGGGGGGTGAATTTATATCATCTTTCTATGTTGTTTTCTCCAACTTTTGATTTATTAATTAGCCTGCCTTAGTTTCTCTCATCTCTCCAACCACTCCCTCCTTCCCTCCTCAGTATTAAGAAAGTTTCCCATTTTATTTATTATATTTCATCTTACATACTCTGAAACAGGAAAAATCAAAATGAGGAATGCAAAATATCTATAAAAACACACAAACACACACACAACAGTAAAGATGAATGCCTACCGAAAGAAAACCAAAAATCAACCGGACTAGGTGTAAAAACAAAACATCAAAAGAAATAAAATAAAAGTCAGTGTGTATACAATGGCATAAAATGTCTTGACGAGAACCTACCTCGATGAAAAGAATAACATTGATGTTGTGATTGTGCCTGTGGTTGTTGTTGTTGGGGTTGTGGTTGATTTTCATGTGAAACATAAGAGTAATAATAATGATGATGATGAAGAGAATACGGCGGTAAAGTTCGATGGGCAGTAGAAGATATGTTATGCGGAGAGGAGGTTTCATTGAAATGTTTTATCAGTGAATTAGAATTACAGTTTGTAGTGTTACTGAGACTATTGTTAGGTGCTTTTACAACATTTGTTAAACATTGTCTAGAAGAAGAGATACATGGTCCAGTCGATCTGTAAAGAAAATAATAAAAAAATTTTTTAAATAAAAATCGAATGATTTCAAAGGCTACCAATATTAAAAAACAACCGGCACTTATCAGCGCATCAAACCGAGTGTTAAATACATTCACATAAAACAAGGATCAAGGAGGTTAACATACCTCTCTCTATATATAGACATTAGATCATGGGAAATGATACAAAAAACAAGGAGGATGGTTGCAGTGAAGAAGAAAATTATCTATCTTTCTGATGAAGTTATCCATCAACTAGACTGTACATTCGTGTATTTTTTTTTGTAAATGCGTGAGAAACCTCCAGAACTATTTCTAATCAAGCGTCAAATTTATAAGAAAACAAAACATGTAGTTCAGCGAAGAGTATCTTTTCAGCGGCGAATTCATTTTCTTAGCTGTACAATCGCAAATATTTAAGGGTTATTTTGTATGCATTTGTGCATTAAGTTTGCCAAACAAAAATACAATTGGTTATGGTTATTTTAACTAAATAGGTGAAAGTTAGTAAATTTTGGATAGAGTTACGTGATACATAAACAGTCAAGAAAATTGGGTAGTAACAAAGGTGATGAGTTGTTACAAACAGTTGTTAAAAAGGAGTTACGTAATAACATGAATAGTTTGATGATTGAGTTGTACTCAGGATACACATAGGAACAAATTAAAGAATACTAAATTACGTAAGACTTCCAAATGAATACAGGAATTATAAGCAATTAAAGAAACAAGCAAACAAACAAAATTAAGTCACCAAAAATCAACAAAGTTGTTACCATGATAATAGAAGTGGTTGAGTAATTCTCTTTTGTATGCACAGTCCCGGTTTCTCTATGTAAATGCGACGCATTGCCTTTGGTAGGTTATTCTTGACTCTGTAGATTACTTTGAAGCAGGAGGCGTTTGTTGAGATGGAATGATCAGTGTTAACCAGGTGTTCAATTATCGCACTCCTTATAGCACCACTATTGAATCCTCTTCGACAGGATACGCATAGAATGACCTGGCTCCACAACCTTAGGTGAATTGATATATGCACGTAGAAGTGGTCAGATGCGGGTCCTTGTCCTCAAGGCTTCTGCAGATCAGTAGACGACTGGAAAGCACTGTTCTTAGCGTTGCTCCAAAAGATTTTCTTCCCAGGGATGATGCGATCGTTCCTTTGAGAATGTTGCTTGTTAAATCTCCCTTGAAATCCAAGTTCATATAGAGTTTCTGTTTTGGTGCAAGTGAAGTTTCACTTCTCCAAATTCTTGGTCTGATATTTTTGTCAATGAATCTTGGTGGGTATACATTTTGGATGAAGATTTCTCTCAAAATATCTAATTCTGTTTCTAGAACATCGGAACTACAGATGTGTCGGATGCGGGTGGCAAGTGATTCAATTAAATTCCGCTTTTGTTGAATGGGTACCCAGCTATAGAAGCTTGTTAATTGACCATTCCCAGTAGCTTTTCTATGGATCGATTTTCTTAGGCTCCCATCAGTTCTTCTTGGTAGTTCCACACCGAGAAACGGAATTTTTGATTCGTTTTCCATTTCAAGAGTGAATTTTATTGCTGGATGGCAACAGTTAAATGTCTTCAGTAGTATATTGACGTCATTGTTGTTGTCACAAATTATGAATATGCCATCTACGTATCTTTTATACAGTCGTAAATTGTCGATGCTCAGCATTGATGGACCTTTCTCGAGGCTTGCCACGAAGCAATCTAATACTAGTGGATGGTAGATTGCAAATAGGAATTAGAATGTGATAATAAACAAGACGATTGGATGAAAAAACATAGTAGGATCATAACTACTGAGGAAATTGACTTCTTGTGCAGTTAAGAATTGAAAATGTAATGGAGCTGAGTACATTGGCCGTACAATACGTCCGCCTGTAAATGGTGGAGACAGAACGGAGGCATGTAAGTAGTTGGGTAATACGATATCTGATGAACTCAGGATATCTAGCTCAATTTGAAAGTCCTGCAAAGTCATGTATAATATGTGATCAAATCTCTTAGAAGAGAGTGAGATCAAGGCATATGGGCCTAGCTGAGGCACTAGCGATCCAAGAGTTCAAACTCACCCCATGTATTCAAAAGGAATAACTCCAACTGTTGCCTATACCATTGTCATCATAAACAGCTAATTCCCCCAAAAGTGATTATTCCAATACATTTCTTATCCAGTCTTCCAGTTTATTTCTATTACTTTAACGTTTTTTAAATCCCTATTTGTGTTACTTTATATTTTTATAAAAATTCCTATCTGTTTCGTTATTAGTATACTTCCAATCTCCAATTTCGCAAAAAAGTTAATTTTGTCAGTAACTGTGATCCTACTGTGTGTTTTATCCGATCTTCCCGCTTGCTGTAACATTTAAATCCCTATCTGCAATTTTATTATTTCTAGCCGTGACCGGAAATAGTCCTGGAACTTTCTCACCCACTTACTATAAGTACAGGAATTTACAGCCTAGTTGATGACTTCGTCAGAAAGAAAATTTTGTTCTCTGGTGCAACCGTCTTTTTAACATTACCTCTATAAGGCTGAATAATTTCGGAAGACTTCAACCAATGTACAATCTAGACACTTTCCAGGCAAGATGTTTCATCATAAAGTAATAAGTGTAGTGTGCCAAGATAGACCTAACGATGAGTAACTTCAATTAGTCTCCTAGTTCATTGGCCGATTCTAAGTCCAGGAATAGTGGAACGTTGGGCTTGGGGGTTGACAATTGTTTTCCACAAAATCAGTCCATTCACTACAGAAATATAAACAACGAACATATTATTTACTGGAATCGGAGAGACGGAATGACACGGCCTTTTGAAAGCCTTCGGGAAGCTAGTCGTCTGCCAATATGTCTTTAACCGATGAAAGCAAAAATAAGCATTGCAATGTGGAATGTTTGCACAATATACGAAGATGGTAAGGTAGCCAAGATTGCTGAAGAAATGATAAGACATGGCATAGAAGTGCTAGCAGTCATCTAGAGCAGGTCAACCAGACGACTACCACGAGCATACTGAGGGAGTTGTTATCATGTTGTCACCAACACAAGCCAAAATCGCCATGCAGTGGGAATCAATTTTCCTCAGGAGTTTAGCATCCGAAGGTGTCATGGAGGAGAACATGTGAAGAGGAGATGAGAGCCTACGGGCAGTTGTGGAGCTAGCCAAAGAGGATTGCACAGAACAGGCCAAAGTGGAGATGTGCTGTTGAAGGTCCATATTCCACTCAGAATCAAAGCGAATGATAATAACAGTGAGCGCTTCTGAGCTTACAACAAGTTGTACTTTGGGATTAAATCTCCTACAGTCTCTCATGGTTTAGAATGATAGAGAAGAATGAATAGCTTTCCTCTACAAAACTACTTGCAATAAACTGGATAAGATCTAAGTTTATAAATTGATGTGAAAATTATGTACAGAAATTTCTACAAGTCAATTTGCTTTGATAACAGTAACACTGGACAGTAATTATCTAAAAACGCTGTATTTTATGATTTACAAACAAAGAAACTAACGAATAAGAAGTTTAGTGAGTGTAAGCAATAAATTATTCCGAGAAGCGGAACCTCTGTATTCTGTACAACTAAATAAATCAAACTACATTACGTATATCTGTTAAGATTTAATTATATTAATAGAAGATAAAAGTTATATAGTTTCTAAGTATTAAAAACTGACTTCACGCATGAAAGAAGTTACGGGTGCGTCACAAAATTACTACAGTACTGAAGCTAACAACGTATAGCTTCATTTAGACTTATAATATGCAGTCATCACAGTCAGTATTTTTCATTTGCATCAATTTAAATGCTTTCTTATACTAGAAGTTACAATTAGTTCATGGGCCATTCAGTCGGGTTCAAGTATCTGAATGGTCTATAAGCCTTTGTTGCAGCTATAACGTCCTGAGTTCGCAGCCTGAAGGTTGGTGCGTACTACTGATGACTCCCAAACTAGAAGAAAATAGCTGTCCAGTACTCTCTACCGGTTTTAAACGGTTCTCTAACTGATATCACTCCTTGGTCAAAACCGAAACATAAAGAATCTCTATAAACTAACTCTCTAAAATATATACCGATATTTTGAAAATCTCAAACAACTAAACTGTTTAATACGCTAAAACTAGGTGTTATATTCGTTCTACCAACAGTTATCTATTGGAACTAAAACATAAAGTAAGCCTGAACAAAGGAAGAATGACAATCACGTACTATGGTCATATGAGTTCATGTTTTATTATTTCAACGATTCTTCTCAACTGCCTACAACTTGAACAATACAAAAATATAAATTACAATAAAGATTTGAAAATACTTTTTACGCGATGACAGAGAGTTATTTTATAGGAACTCAGAGCAATATAAGTCAGGAATGATTTAAGTTGTTAAATTATTAAGGGCTAAAAGGATTGATTCTTTATAGGATAATTAGTCCTAATAATCTAACAGTTTACATCGCCCTGGACTTATTTTACCCTTAGTTCCTGCCAATCACTCTCTGTCGTGGCGGAAATAGCATGTCCAAAACTTTAATGTAATTTATATTTCTTTTTTGTATTGTTCAAGTTGTAGCTAGTTGAGAAAAATCCTCGGAATAAGCAAAGATGAGTTCATATTATCCCGGTACATTTATCGTCCTTACTTCGTCCAACTTTTCTAATGAGAAGAAATGTATGAATTTCTGAACACATAAAAATTGATCAAATTCAAAAGCAAGAATCGAATGACAACCAACCAACATAATTCTAATTACCATTTTTTTATTCCGAATGGAACACAGGGCTCCAAGCTTTAAAGTTTCAGTTCCGATGGCGTTGTCCTTTTTATGGGATGGAGTTACTAGTCTTATGCCAAATCTCGTCTCTTTACCAGCGTTACTACCAGCTAACAGTTTTTAAGAATACCTTGCCTGGAAATCGGATGCCGGACGAAATTCGTGCTTGGCCAGCACTCTACTGTTAAGTCACAGACGCAATCAGTACATTTCTAATGCCATCCCCGACCAAAAGCTGCTACCTTGACGTGGTGGTCGGGCTTGAATACCGCAATGACCCAACAAGCTATACTGGCTGAGACTTATGTCGCTTGAGGTCCTACCATGCCAGAAAGGTTGTTTGGATAGCGGTTAGACAAAAAGCAGTTACCCAACCCAATGCTATGACTCGAAGTAAATCACAAAATATCATGCCGGATCGGTTGGGGCCCGAATTAACAACGACCGCGCTTCCTGCTGCCGCGTCACAGGGCAGAAGTGATAAATATGCTACTGAGACACACCAAATGAAAAACAACAAACAAAAACAGGTCGTGTGTGACCGGCCTCAAGCAGTTGTCCCCTGGGCTCTGCGGTCACACAACCAACTTCCACGGTGTGGGCAGCCGGGAAGTAACAATCGCCTTCACAATCTGAAGTGCACGCGAAACCTCTCTAATCCTCACTCATCTTTGTCTTCACCTTCATCTCTATTATCTTACCTTCCTTCTACTAATGCGACTCCTCTACTTGATGGCTCTTCACTTCCTAATGCCATCTGACAAAACACCACTTTAATGGGTTAGCTATGTATTTTCAAAATATCGGGGATCGAAAATTCCTTTCAGATGGTAATTCCAACATGTCAACCATTTTCATCTTCACTCCTCATGGATAATGATGTACTGAGTAATTTCACAACTACCACTCAATACACTACAGTGGCAGTTTCCTAACTACAATTAGTAATCTGATGTCCAAAAGCCACTGGACAGTGTATTACACCAAATGAGAGGAAGATTAGTGCTTTCATTGATGAGTTGTGAGCTGATATTGGCGAGAAACTACTTGAAGAATTCTTGTATTGATTTATCTTTATAAATGCCCCCTGAGGGGTTTATGAAGACAAGCAACATCAATTCAAAGTGAACCACGATGACCAATCTTCTAGATTAATGACTCCTAGGAGTGATTCGGCAATAATGAACAGATAACTTAACAACAGTCACTGCATAGTGAGCAATCAATAATTCGCTTGCTGCACCAGTTTATATGTACTCAGCTACATACTTTTATGTATTATTTTGAAACGCATCCCATTTTTCACGTAAATCAGTTGATTCTTCAAGCTATATGAAAAAGATAGAACAGCCTGAAAATGATGCCCATGTTATTTTCAGAAACTGCTTATAGTCAGTCGAGGTTGGATAGCAGTCTCTGTAGCCTAGTGTACACTATCTACAAATATATTTCATGTGATATAACCGGATTCTCGTACCCTTTTTTCTTGAAGGGAACTAAAATCATAACCTGAACATACTCTACTTTTTAATACACTAGTAGTCACAGTGACCTAGTTATTTTATATGCGATAACCTGAGAAATATTGATGCAAGATTATTTGACCAAACTTTAATCAGAACTGCCAAAACACTAGGATACAGAGTAGACATTACATAACAGTGAATAGAATAAAGAATATGTGTAACTATCCCACCACCATATTTTATTTTTTTATTTATTATAGCTTGATTTCACACCGTATTTTTGGTACAAGCATGGAATTTTCAGCATGCGATATCGGTAGCCCAATTTTGCAGGCCGACCATAGATATCGGGTGTGCGCTGGCAGGGGATCGAACCCCGGACCATGTGCATGGTCGGCGAGAGTCCTAACCACTGTGCCACCGACACCATGCTTAAGGAAACCACCAAGTTAATTGGAAACTTAGACCTATTAAACTACTCAAAGATGCAGCCTCATCTTATAAAGACCTACTCTAAAGACAACGAGATCGGTTTTTATAAACAGCTAACTCTTCCAGCAAAAACATTTTAAAGTAATTATACGGTGAGCTTTGTTAGTCAAGATCTGTGAAGCTCCTGATTTTTCGCATATAGACAAAAGTTTACAATTTTTAGGTAGTGCTGGAATGCTAAATAGGGTTAAATTCAAGCACGTGCAAAATGAGATACTCAGTAAGCCATACTACCTAATACTATTAAACATGAAAAGTGAAAATGAGGAAACCTACTGGTAAGTGAGGATTCTTATTACAAAACCGTTTATTTCATATAAACTATGTAATATCACGTCACAAAAACAGGGTCACTGAAGACCAGACGATACGTGAACACAATTATCACTACTTCTAAGCAGTAATATAAAAATCCCAAAGATTTCCAAGCTTAGGATTTTAGCAATAGCTGTCAATGGATTTTCATTTATTGACTTGATGAAACTAAATTGCATCCTTCTGTTGGCAGCATATTTCATTCTGTTTAATGTCAAACATAATGATCAAAAAGCATAGTATGATAACCTTGAGTAAACTAGTCTTCTGAAATGAGTACTTGATAAAAATATTGTTCACAGGTTCATACAAGTTATATCGGTTTCCTGAAGCCCTGTTTATTGAGACAAAACTCTGTCGTTATTTTTATTGTTTGTAACATACTTATTGTTGTAATGCAAACTACCTGATATCAATGGTCGGCCTGAAAAAATTTGGGCTACCGATATAAAATGCTGAAAATTCCATACTTATGCAAAATACTGTGTAGAGTCAAGCTATAATAAAATAAAAAAATAAAAACAGTGTTTTGCTGCCCTTAGCCATTGATGTATCCCGAAAAATATGACAAATTATTTGTGATAAGTTCACCTGATTACTTCCATAACTGCAGTTTACATATTTAATTGGGACTGGTTATTTTTACTTAAGCAAGGGATTATTACATATCATTTCAGATTATTTAATGCCTAACTGTTTTACCCGGGTGAACACCAAAAGTCGAACAGGGAAAAATTTGTTCTTGTCTTACTCATATCTTGCAGGCGGAATCCCAGTCGACCGTTCTTTACCAATAAGGGAAGATATGTTTTTCTCGCAGAATTTTACATTACTTGTTACTACCGATTCTGGATTCTGTGCAGTAAACTTGGGTATAGATTTATCAAAAGCATGTTCCTTTGTATAAGGAACTGCATAGGAGGAAAGACTTGTTTGCATAGATGATCGAAATTTTGATCTATTAAAGTTTGTTTCATTTTTCTGAGGGGATCTATAATGAAGAAGAATTAAGCGACGGTGAAAAACATTACCTGTAAGATCTATATGAATCCAAAAAGCTGCATGGTACAGCACGGGAGTCAAAGCGATTAGGGCTTGCATACCTTGTAATCCGATCATTCTGTACAGAAAGGCGGTTGTTTGAGATGTCCTGCATGCTGTTCGATCTTAATTTCTCAGAGCTTACATTAGGGTTTTCACAGCTTATTTCCCGACATCTACCGAGTGGTTTCATGTTTCTTAATATTTCTTGCTTGTCATTTTTTAAGTATAAAAGATTCACTTTAGATGGGAGTCTTAACACTTGAATCTTCATATAATTTGGAGGTAAATTGTCGTAAATAAAAATCCATTGGCATATTTTAGAGCCATTTGAAAGGCAACCGTGAATAAATCAATTTTTTAACATTTATCTACATATGACAGATAAATGAACACTCTAGAATTAGGTCAAATGAATATGTAATTAATTTCCACGGCTACTACAATGTCAAAAGTGCGTATTGACCTCAGTGGTGAGTTAATGATTCAAAATGATACATACAAACAAAAGAAGTCCATATCAACTTCCTAGAAAATGCGACACGTTACGAATTTCTTTCAATGACTGAATTTTGTATGAATATGAGAGGAACATACACACGTCTTCTAATCCATAATTATCATAAAGTGGACCTTCAAATATTTCAAAACGTCATGTCACCGGATATTTATCAACTTCATAAGTATTTCCATTTTTAAGTAGGTTTGGAGAGGTGAAGCAGTTTTTTCGATTCGTTCCCCGCTGTACTGCCACCGATGTTACGAGAATCATGTAACGGAATCAGTTCACGCAATTCTTCTTCATACCCGAAACTAAAATTTACTATGACACTTAGAGAAGTTCTGAACATCCAATATCCAATATCGTTTTTTAGAGCTGGTATAAACCGATTTGATTTCTCTGTGCTCGCCTCTTGATTGAGATGTATAGGTTCCTGATCTTCGATAAACTTCTGCGTAGCTCGTCCCAACATCTGAACAGAACTACTGGATAGCCTCACGTCGGAAACTACTCGTGTCGGTACAATGTAATCCAGAAATATTTGACGGAGAAACGGTGAGATCATTATCATTTCCACTGCAATTAACTTTAAAAGAATACAGCAGTCGTGCAAAGACAAAGAAAAACGAAATGGAAAGAGCTCAGCACTTTGCGACACTCAATAGGAAAAGCAACAGGGAGCTTCTAATTGATAAGGTGTTTTGTTGCTTGTCAGAAAAATAAGAAGACAGCCATCTTGTGACTTGCGACTCAATGTGTTCCGAAGTCACCATGGTTGGCAAAATGACCTTGGTGTGAAAACAGAGGCAGCTGCGCAGTCTAAAATGGCGGGCCGAACAGATTTTTCCCCTTTACCCAGACTGGAAACAGTATTCTGGTGAAGTAGAATGTCAAAGTTTTAAGTGCTTCTTCATTCGCAAGTCAGCTGCTTAAGGTCACTAAAAGATTTTTATCAGGGCTTGAGAACAGTTAGGAAAGGTATTTCCATAGCTCTCTGAACTGATGGCATGATTAGGATCGGTCTAATTATTGAGCCCAGCCCAAGACATTGTGCTTCTGATTAAATACAGCCTTTGTTTCCTTCCAAGTAACTTCTGTTGTAACCCTGCAGAACGATGGATTAATGATTTGTGTAAGAGGATGACGCCAAATATCCACACACTTATAAAGCGATATAGATGGTGCACCATCACGACCTAGACTGCATGATGGATTCAGGGATTTGGAACACGTTTAAATGCATGGTCTCGACAAAACGATATTCTATAGCAACTCAGATATAGTAAGTGACTAAAGAACTCAGAAAGATAGAACGAGCAACCAAGTAAGAACTACATATTCTTTACCATTTGTAAGGCCCTCTTCATCTGTCGAGTGGTGAATGTCTTTCCGTTTGTCCGACTACGTATTCTACACTTCACTTACCATGCTTTCGGAAATAAAGGTTTTCAGACAATATTAGTCTTCCACAATATCACAGGTCGTCGATTGGTAATATAGACAGTTCCTTTGATGGAAAACCCGGTGTGTAAATTGGTGAACCCATTGCATTCAAATTTGTCTTCGACTTCGTTCTAGTTGACTACATTCTATGTATCTATTTTGTTTTTGGTTGCCGTTTGGATTTACTTATTTATTTTCTCTGGTACTTATTATATTGTTCAGTATTTTTGTTCGTTATTCGACCACTATACTGTGCTAAGCTGCTGATATACTAGCCTACCTTGGGGATATATTTCTGTTTTATCGAACGAATTCCTGGGATAACGAACTTTACCAGGCAATTCTTTGATAATCTCGATCTTCTTCAAAAAGCAGTAGCTAGAGCATATTAATCGAGCTCTGTGAACTATGTACTCCACTAAATTGAGTTTATATTTCAAAGGTACAAAAACTCATAGGTCAACATCCTAGACTGGATTTTCTATACAAACTCCTAATAGTAAAATCATCTTTAACGAAATATTGCCAAAAGCAGAGTGAATACAAAACACGAACGACAAACCACAAAAATAAAATACGGAATCGTCAACATCCGGGTTTTGAGCCCTTCGACAGTTTCGTATAATAATAATAATGTATTTCATATAAATTTACAAATTTACATGAAAATGCATGCCATTTTTACAGGCACGATCAAGTATGATATAATATCAAATCGTAGATTGTCCACAAGTTAATCGTATTTCAACTGTTAAATATTCGATACATATAATACACTCATTTTCTGAATTAGGCCGTATAGTTATTGAATTGTACAGTTGTCCTCCAGGTTGCGCAGGAAAATCGACTTCGTTCCGTTTTCATCCCGTGGTTGTAGGCATACGATAACCAACCAATATTGAGGTAAGTACACCTTTTACAAGGGATTGGAATCTGTTTTAGAAAAATTAAAGTGCTGAGGTGAATCATTAAATTGTAATGAAATAGGTAAGTGCAAGTATCATTAATAAATGCATTAATAAAGGAAACACCCTGGGGTAACAACATTCATTTGCAATGTATAATGCTACAGATATATCACAAACTATCATGATATCCACTTTTGGTTTTAATACAATTATCCTCATGCCAGTTGTCTTTATTTTATACCTTTTTGTGCATTTAGTGCACAACCGTACCCTTCAGAGAGTAGAAGTAATGAAGAGCTATAAGATGTTAAGCTTAATGGAGTAAAATGAGGATCAAGTAAAGACGTTGTCAGAAAATAAATGAGATAAGACATTGTGGAGTGGTATGAAAAGATCTGACGATAGACAGCAAGTTAATTTATAAGATGCCCCATAAATCTGAGCAGATCCCACATGGTCGCATCTCAACAATAGGCTGGGTGAATGGTATATATTTAAAGGTAGAAGCATGATCTGTCAAGGCGTTCATTGTATCTTTTTCAAGATAAAGATTTAAGCCCTCATAAAAATCAGAAATATCTCGAGCCTTCAAGTTTTTTAATGCTGTTCCTGCAGAATGGGGCGATTCACCTTAGTGACCCCCACCATATCTACTGATCAGCTAACTCCACCCTCCCACCTTTTTTGATGTTAGGCTCTGAGACTATGATTATTATGGTTACCGCAAATATGTTGCTTGGTACCAGACATGTTCGTACCCCATATTCCATCTCCCTAGCTTTCTTAATGAGTGCTTCCAATAGGTCCCCGCGTACATCTTTATGAGCATATTATATATGTATGCATGCGTCCTAATGAACAGATTACTTTATAAGAAGTCAAAAACCTTGAAGAATAACAAGAATAGGTTTTGTGAATAGTGGAGCAAGATTCAGCAGAACAATATAGTTAGGGTTCAATATAGGTAGTATGAACTGAAGGTAAGGTCGGTTGGCAGGACCAAGTGTACTAAATTATCATGACAGTTTTATATATAGTAAACATTTGACATTGCAAAGTAACCTGTCTACATATATTATAAAAAGATATTAGCAGAACCAACAAAATTTCAGCATTTGGTTAACAATACTACAGAAAGTTAGTGAGTCTTACAGGTAGCCATAAAGTAAATCAATCTATGTATAATAAGAGTGTAATCAGTGTTATAATTCGTATTATCAAAGAATACATTAGGCTCAAAAACTGAATGTTATAAGGGAAATAAGAGTGATAAACTAAGAGAACATTTGCTGCGTAAGTAATCATTTTAAGTATTTTAATGATAATCTAATTTCAAGTATTGAACATGCATAATTACTAAGTATTATTAGGTTAGTCTAGGAACTAGTGTACTGTCTGTAGTTAAATATTGAAATGTCATGGTTTCACCACTCTACCAGCAGTTGAGATCATTTAGAAGGGCTAGGGTGGACATGTTAATATGTTTTTCTAGGCTCCTTTTGAAACTGTCAGGCCTTTCACAGGATCTAATCTCAGAGGGTAGTTGGTTCCAAAGTTTGCAATATTTAATGGTGAAGAAGTTAGCTCTAGTGGTGAGCTTATGGGTGTTAACCTTGAGAAGGCAGTTATGGTTGCGTAGTCCATACGATTTAGGATTAGCCCAGGTTATAGACGAGTTACTGTTACAGTGCTTTCTTATAACTTTGAATAAGAGAAATAAATTGCACTTCACTCTCCTTAACCATAAGGGTTCTAAGTCCAGTCGAATACATCTGTCAAGGTATTCTATTTGCTGATCATAACCTAATATGCGTTTCGTGAGGAATCTTTGGACACTTTCAACTTTTTTTCTGTCTGCTGACTTAAAGCTATTGTATAAGTGGGCACAGTATTCAAGTTTGGGGCGAATCCATATCTCCAATAACACCAAAGCGCATCCGTCTCCAATCCTCGATATAACCTGCAAAAATAACTACGAGTTAGGTGAAATCAACTTTAATATGCAAAATATAGCATCAGCGGTAAAGACACTAAAAGCTAACGGTAGTTGTGGGATAGATGATATACCATCTATCATTTATAAAAACGGTGGCTCGGATATGATAGTACTATTACTTAGAATATTCACCCTCTCACTAGTGACTGGGACCTACCCTGAAACTTGGAAAAACACGTATATACTACCTAAGCATAAAGGAGGGACCAAAACTAGTGCATGTAATTATAGGCCTATCAATATAACACCTGTTATATCAAGGATCATGGAGAAAGTAATCAAAGACCAAATGTCAGACTACTTTCTAAAACACAAACTCATCAACCAGTCACAACACGGGTTCCTTAAGAAAAGATCTTGCGTCACTTGCCATATAGACTTTTTCAACGAAGTCACCTATAGAAGAGATAGGAGAGAACCAGTAATTATCCTCTATTTCGATATCAGGAAAGCCTTCGACAGAGTCCCACATAGTCTGTTAGTCAGCAGGCTATGCTCACTAGGGATACGCAACCCCCTCCACAACTGGATAAAATCATTTCTCAGTGACAGAAATCAGACAACAAAAATTGGCTCGATGACCTCCAGGCCTAGGCCGATTAGCAGTGGTGTCATCCAGGGAAGTGTAT